CTAATATTTTCCAATGAATTTATAACTTGATTAAATGATTTACGCTTTTTAACTGTGGACAATATTAAATATGCTACCAATATATCCATGTTACAACATTAGAAAAATTAACTTTCCTTTCCGCCATTAAATAATCACAATTTGATTTACAATAATATTTAATATCATTGTGTTTCCTTTTAAGATCTGTATGTCCACCAATGTTATGCCACAAAAATGTATGTTCAGGCGAGCTATACATAAACATACTTACAACTTGTTTTGATATTTAATTTTTATAAAACTTTTTATTTACAATTAAAAGAAGCAAAGTACACTTGTCTTTCCACGCATGAAAAATATGTTTTGTCCAAAGACTTGTAAGCTAAAGAGGACAAAACTATGAATCATTTACATTTTCTAGTATTAACCATTATTAAAAATATCTGCAGGTTACGAGGAAAGCAATTTATACACTGCCGAAAAAAGAGATCAACCTACTTCAGAGGCTGGGAAATATTTCAAACCTTGAAGTGGTGATAAAAGAAGAATTATGATTAAAGTTCTGTATAAAGTATTAATATAAATATTTTCTGGAACATAAAGATACATTCACGAAAAAAGCAAAGTAAACTATCAAAAGGTAACTTATAATGCTTCATATCATATTATTGAAACTTAAAGCCGTCAGTGATGTCCTTACAATTCTGTAAAGCATATTACATTTTACTTTAATTTTAAAACTTCTAAACACCTGGCAAATAAAAGCAATACTTCATTGAAGATATCAGGATGATTCTGTTCTGATGATTAGCACATGGGTTTCATTTGGGGTACTTCTTAAGAGAATTAGAAAAATAACAATTTAAAAAGTTCAATTTTAATTATGTTTGCTAAGAAAACAAAAACAGACCAGATAATAAAAAATAAAAAAAATATATTGAAATTAAACATAAAAACAAAATTAACAAAACAATATATTGTTACGATAATATGAGCTATCACAAAGGATTATTTTTATGCCCCCGATCATATAGTAATTGAACCGTCCGTCCGTCTGTCCGTCTGTCCATACGAGGTTAACCTAGAACAGCAATTTAGATTTTTCTTAAGTTGTACCTGTAGCAATGGCTTTTTAGTTTACACACTTACTAATCAATACAAAGTATATGATCTGGTCAAGTTACATAACTATGGCTTCTACCAAGTTATTGCCCTTTTCAGCACTTAGAAAATGAATAATGATTAACCTAAAACGGCAAGTTGGAAATATCTTAAGTTCTATCTATACTAATGGCTTCATAATTTCCACACTTACTTATCAATACAAAGTACATGATTTTGCCAAGTTATGTAACTGTGTCATCCATATTTCTTAGTGATTTCCCCTTTTTTACTTTGAAAAAAGGGCCTTGTCTGGTTAACCTATTCCGGCTTAATTTATTTAATGATATCTTGTATATTTGGTAGGTGGATACCTTTAATGGTCCTCTAATTTTTTGTGGAATAAGTGATCTGTAGGGTCAAGGTCACTTGTTTAGAAAATGAATTTAAACATTTTTGCTCATACAACCTTTATTTTTGGTTGATGTCTTTCATGTTTAATACAAACATGCCAAGGGAGGTCCTCCTTCTTTGGGTATAGTAAAGGGTCATTTTGGTCAAGATCAATGTCACCAATGTCAAAGTCACCAATGTTAAAAATAGATTTTTACATTTTTACAGGTGTATTAACCATATTCTATTGACAGATGTCATTTATAATTGATAGGAACATAAATTTTAATGGAGTTAGTGGTCAGTTGGGTCAAGGTCACCAGTGCTAAAATAGATTTTTAACACTTTTGCTCATACAGCCTTTATTTATTGACAGATATATCTCATAATTGGTAGAAAGATAACTTGCATGTTATTCTTACTTTGGATGGAGTTACGGGTCAGTTTGATCAAGGTCACAGGTGCTAAAAATAGATTTTTACACTTTTGCCCACACAGCCTGTATTTATTGACAGATTTATTTCATATTTGGTTGAAGATAAGTTGCATGGTATTCTTCCTTTGGACGGAGTTAGGGGTCAGTTTGATCAAGGTCATCAATGCTCAAAATAGATTTTAACATTTTTGCCCCAATAGCCTTTTTATGACAGTTGCATTTCATATTTGGTAGGAAGATAACTTGCATGATATTCTATAGGAATCAGTGGGTCAAGATCAAGGGTGTCAAGTATAGATTTCGTACATTTTTATATATTTGATAAAATTGAATATTTATCACTTCACAAGTCATAGCAATGGCTTTGCAACTTATATATTTCACAATTACAAAATGCCATGACTCTGTCAAGCTATATAACTTGTGTTTACAATTTTTTGGCAATGTTTCTGTCCATAACTGAATGAATGGGTAAACAATTTTTGAAATATTGCTACTGACAAGAATCGGAGCCGGGAGCATTTGTGTTTAACAAGCACGTTCTTGTTCAGTAAATTAAGATGTTTTGCAAACTTGGTCTATTCGTCATTTACAAAAGTAAATTCAATAAAGAGTGTAAAAAATAGAAGTTCCTAAAAGTAAAATAAACTGAACACCAGAACTTAAAACTTTTTATTTATTTTCCTTCTATCAATGAAATATTGAATAGATTTGAATACAGCCAGATTTTTCTTTCGTTTCTACTTTCAGAAGTCGAATTAAGGTCCTCCTTAAGAACTAATATTTTTGTCTCCCCCCTCCCCCCTCATCTTCCATTCGAAGTTGAATTTCCCCATGCGGGCGTGTAAGTTTTCTTTATTGTATATTTTCTTAATTGTATGTGGAGTCAAAATTGGAGTATTAACAATAACCCTGTTCTTCCACAGAAATATTCCTGTCAAATTTAGCATCCTCTGTACCACGATAGCCATAGCTTTAGCAGAAGCGGTAGATTCGTCGCAGCGGCGGTGGAGTATTCGTCGCTGAAGCGGTGGATATACCAATGAAAAAAAAATGGAACATATGAGGGCTCCGGTATCTCTAGGTGTTCCCCGTAATATGAAAACGTAAAACAAAATTCAGTCATAAACATACGGACAACAGCAAACGTCCATATTTTATCTACCGTTCTGCGACGAATACTTTACCGCCTTTACAATGGTTCCACCACTTTTGGCGAAAGTTATAGCCAGTGTGGTACTAGAATAAAGTTGGTTATAAAATTAACCTTCAAAATATATATCTTTTCAGTGTATAATCACAGGAACTTGTAATTCTATCAATGTTAATGATAATATCCAAAATATACCCCCTATACAGTATAAATAAACACAAGGAATGAAACGCCTTTTCCCCACCCCAACATAATTTACGCCGAACAAATCAACAAAACAACGGATCAAAATAATCTATCGGGCCATTTCGATAAACAATACATAAATGCATCAAATATCACCGATAACTTTTTTTATCGCGTAGCTATGTAGGAATAATTCAACATTTTCTGATTATTTCCCGCGATCTGAGTTAGGAGAAGAACCTAGCTGAACTGTGTCAAATTTGCTGGGCTCCTGGTTAAAAATTATGAAATCTGTACGGAAAAATGTTCAAAAAGTGTCCGGTTGATGGTCCCCGACCAGGAGGTATTTTAACATAACGATTTAATAGATTTATTTTAACATTGAATTATTTGAATAATTTTAAGTAAGATAATCTTATAGAAATACTTTGAACAAAAGTTGCTTACTTCGGAACTTACGCATTTCTGTAGCAAACGCTCAGAATTTGTTGAATAATTTGTTTGTAGAAACGTTGATGATTTAGTTTGGTTAACATAATAACTTACGCCAATATTAATTTAGATCGCTTCAAAATATTTCATCAGTAAATTGTTGTGTTATTCTCCTTTAAACACTGTTTTGCCAGCGACACCTCATATTTGTTCGAGAATTTTCATGATGAATACCTTTAATCTTACACAAGAAGAGAATGTTGATTACCTGTTAATTATTACAATATTTATATGCTAATGATAAAATGTGCATAATTGAATACCTCCAATAAAATTCGTTAAAGTGTTAATCTTAGTTTATTATTGATCAGATTCTAGTTTAAAAGGCTTATAACTCCCTCATAATTATAAGTCCACTTGTCTTTGCTGCGGGGTCAAACTATATAAGTTATTGTTCGCCACAAGTCCGGATGAAAGCATAAGTCCCTGATCAAGAGTAAGCCTGATTTCCGTGTCCTAGAAGGCCAGCACGTAACATTTGTCTACTGGAATTGAATTATATTGTCAAAAGAAAGTTTAATATACTATGAAATCCTATAAAATAAAACATGTGTTTTTTTCATAATGGTCAGATGTCAACCTAGGGAGAGTGGGTTTCCTCATTTGAAACAAGTAAGGTGCCACAATAATGCGTCAGATAAGCCACACGTTTCTTTCCACACTCAAGCTTTAATAAATACATGTAGTTAATAGCTCAATTTTAATGCTTGACTATTCAATAAATATTTTATTAAACTTTAAGAGATTCATGTAAGATATTAACATTTCTCACGTATTATATACGATCGTTTTGGACGAGGAGCACACATTTGTTGTATATATTTTTTAGTTTTTTTTTTAATCTTGAATGAGTCCTATATTTGACGATTTATCAATCGCCCGTGAACTGAGGCATTTCATAACATAACCAAAGCTGTGCGCAAGGATGGCGCATACGATTACACATTTATAAAGCTTACTCATGAAATAATCATTTTTTACTTAAATTACCATTGTTTCCCGTAACTTCAGCAGATTTTCTGCAAAATGGCGGGCGGGCCTGTGTGTACGTTCGAAATACTTAATGATTTATACTGACATTAACTATATCTGTCAATAAGCAGTTGAGTAGGCATGAGCAGTAGACAGTTAACATGTAGTTGATCAAAAGGCAGTGAGCAATAGGCAGTGAAACAGGCAGTGAACAGTAATAGTAACAGTAGAGAGTGAAAACAGGCAGTGAACACTAGGAGGTGATTAATAGGCAGTGAACAGACAGTGAACACTAGGTTGTTTACAGTAGGCAGTGAACAGGCAGTAAACAGTAGGAAGTGCGCAGTAGGCAGTGAACAGTAGGTATTGAGCAGTAGGCAGTGAAAAGTGGATAGTGAACAGTAGGAAGTGAACAGTTGGTAGTAAAATGTGGGTAGTGAAAAGTAGAAAATGAACAGTTGGCAGTGAAATGTGGGTAGTGAACAGTAGGTATTGAGCAGTAGGCAGTGAGCTGTAGACTGTCGTTTATCTCGTGTATTGTGCACAGTGTAATACTGATTTAAACATAAAATAGTATGACAAAACAAATAACAAAAAGTAGTTTTACCTCATTCGAGATACTTCTTGTTCTATAAGTGACAGCAACTTTGTTATATATTAATGTTTTGTCTTCATACTTGGACACAGCTTTCCTTTGAACAAGACTTTCAAGCGTGACTTTAACTCAGTGACATTGAAGGTCAAATAATTGAATTTGTTATAACTTGCTATGACTTTGGTATTTATGAAAGGCTTAGCTTCATACTTAAGCAGATCTTCCTTGAGAGCAATGCATTAAAGAATATTAAACTCAATTTGACCTTAATCCATAGATTATCGTTGGAATGTCAAGTTATTGCAACCTGCAAAAATTCCACAAATTAATATAATTGCATGTATATTTACAGATGGACCGAGGAATATTTTTTTTAATCCAAATGATGTGTCATATCGACATGATGAAAACTTTAACCTCGCACCAATCACATGTGGAGCTGATTGCTGGGAATGTAACTACAGTTGGTCTGGACCAAATTCATTTAGTGTTCCTGGAGTAGTGCTTGATCTGGATCCATTAACAAAGTCAATGGCTGGAACATATACATGTACTGCTAGAAACGTTAAACTGTCTCAACAAACACTGCAAACAAAACAGTTGCTACTTGAAGTTAGATGTAAGTTGATATTTTTATTTATTGAACACAAAAAATTCTGATGTAAAAACAACAACTAAACAACAACAACATAAAATGTGTGACAGTATGGGATGAATATCCGTGTTCTTTCCGTAAAGTATTGGAGGGTTTTGATTAAAATTTTGCACATCATAGGTTTCTAGTAAAAATGTAGTGCCTTGTCAATTTACCATAATATAATTCTATCTTGCTTAATTTGATAAGTATCTCCCATAATAATACGTGAACATGTTGACTAATCTTTGTCCGTAATATACCTTCATATCTATGATATCAAACTGAATGATATCTTACTGAAATGCCACTTAGTAGTAAGAAAAATGTCGAAAAATCATTAACTTACATTACTTAGATATTTCAATCATCTAATAAAGTAGATAATAGTATGTTGTGAAAATACAGTGTACAGTAGTTATATGTGATACTCTATAACAGTTAGGATAATTTTAATAGGGGCGTCAGTTGCCGAGTAATAAAACAATTTACTTCAAATCACTTTCCCTTCACCACTGTAGGTTCGAATCCCGCCTTGTTTTTTTAAGGAATCTTTCTAGTTAGCTTACGGATCGTCTAAGTTCAAACTAGGTGTTCGCTCGTGCCTGAAATAATGCACTGAGCGAACCTAAGATTGTCAAACAAAAGTTAAGCTGAAAATTCGCAATATGTTGGTGTCCAACATAAAACATAAATAGATAAATAGATAAAATAAATATTGCTCTTGGTCTGATGCAAAGAAGGTCACAGACGCAAAGAATATTTATTAAATCCTGAATTTTATTTATTCCAATGCACTTTAGCTTCTCAAAGTGAATTTATATTTTATATAACTTTATTTAATCATGCATATGATAAACATCATTTCTTTTTAATATTGGCAGAAAGTATGTCAGTAATTATAAAGCTCACTAATGAATGGTCATGTTGTGGTCCTCTACGGATGGTAAATAGTTCCAGTCTGATGCATAAGTAGATCATAGACGTTTTTGTTTTAGAAACATTGTCCAGAAAGTGCAATGCTCAGAGTTTAGATGATTCCGCATTTAACTTCCTTTGTGATCACCTAAAAACGTTACAAATATCATGCCCACTGGGTCAAAATTGGCACTGCTAAGGAGTATCTAGTTTATTTAGAATTATTTTAGAAATACATATAAATCTTCTTAATTTTGTAAAACCCAGAGCTTAATTTTTTTTTCAAATATTTAAAAACGTTATACAACTTGGATAGAATGACAAAGCTAGTGAGTCTTGACACGCCGCAGGCCTAAGATTTGGTTAGTATGTTGAACCTGTCTAAGATATGTATATCAATTAATTTTAAATGAAAATTACACACATGCATTTGACTTATGACCCCTTATGAAAACCAGTAAAATGGGCAATCATCTGTGGACTATGCATAATCATTTGCATAACTTTTGCTACCCCTCCAATAAAAATCCCGCATGTAATTTAGGAAAGTTCTACTTTATGTACAAATGACATCGAGCTTTACAAAAAGGACTTAATGCTCCCTATTTATATATTGTTGCATTTATTTCATCATACGTGGTTCCCTTTATGAACTTAAAAATACATGTAGTTATTTTTAACCTATTTGTCAAGTTGGTATCTAAAGTTCTAATAAGCTTCATACTGTGTATTGGCAATTTGATTATTCTTATATTTCTTTTATTCGCATTTCAAACAATTTCCCTATTCGGCAGGTTAAATTATCTTCCACAATACATATATTTGTATTATTGTTATTTGTAACAGTGATTTTATACTTGTCTACGTTATTACATTGCACATGCCGCATACATGTGGAATTCATTTCCGTCCAGTTATCCTTCTTTTATGCATATGAAAGTAGGTAAAATGTGTATTTTATTGTTTTCAGGATGTTTGCTATTATTATCTTTTACTTTTATCTTGCTTAAGTAGTTTGTAAGCACTCATTGAAAAGTACTAACATTCTGAATTTGCCCAGCTATAAATTGTATCATGTTCCTTTTTACGTAATATGCCCTTCTTGAGTGTACTGAGTGAATCTGTTAATAATATTGTTTGGGTTAATACATTTTTCAGCCCTTGGAAATAGCAGAAACAAATAAAGTCATGACTGTGTAATTGGCATAAAATGTGAACAACAGTTTCGGAGTTTTCTCCAATTTCTTTATAAAGAGACTATGTTTTCTTTGTATTTCATCTTATTATTTTTTCCTGGTATTTATATGTGACATTTTATGAATTAGATAATCAGAACAATAGGTCCTGAATAGGTACTTAAACTTTTATAAATATATTCAAAGGTTATGAAATCAGTAAATGATCATACAGTACTAGTATCTGGATGACAATGACGACCAGTGTTGTGTTTCTATGGGCTTCTACATTTGTGTTCCCTTATTTTATACATGTATAGTGAGACTTTTGGAGAAATTAAAAACATTATTAATTATACTGGTTTATTTTGCAATCTTTTATTGTATTGCTACGCTCATCGTGTAAAGAGATGTTTTTGTAACAATGATTAAATTAATATTTAATGTGAACTTTTGACTTTAACCCTTTAAAAATTGCATTTTATCCAGTTATTTATATACATGTATAATATAGGGTTAACGCACGTTTTTTTCCGTGTTATAACGCGTTGACGTTATTATAGCATACACATTTAAAAAGATTCATGGTGTATTTTTAAATACAAAACACATACATTAAATATTTGTGCTTGGACGGTATTTGTCAAATTCTACATGTTTTTCGTATGCGTTTTATTTTTTCCAGGGCCAAAAACTTGGAAAATACAAATGCTTAGAACCGAACGAAATTTTGAATTTTAATTGATTCAAGAAAGCTTACCATTTGAGATTTGAGATTTATTAACAAAAAGAAAATAAAAACATAAATTACTCTACGTAAGACAAAACATGACCCTCAGAATCGTTCTTTTTTCAAGCACACAATTTAATAAAAAATCAGACACGAAACATTATTCTCTCAAAGAAATATAAAAAAAAACATTTATCAATATCAACATTAAAACAACATTTTCTCATATTCAGTTTGTGCTATCTTGTTTTTTAAGTCAATCGGAGGGTTAAATTGAATGACATATATTTGCTTACATTGACACTGTTCGTTTCTTAGAAAGATCGACAATCAAGATTAGCGGTGATGTCTATACGCCGTATTTCCGACATAGAAACTTGAAGGCTGCTCGCTGTTATGCGATTGAGGCCCTCGAATCAATAATTTCAATATAACAAGAGCGCATGACTCTTTGGCAAACAGGCTAAATCGTCATTTTTTTGTTTGCTTACTGGGCCCTGTATGTATTGTGCATAGGTAAAACCGGGCTACAACAAGAGCGCGTGAAATTGTTAACAAATTGTTAATTGTCCGTTATAACATGGGCAAAAGAGGGAAAAATAGCCGAATTTATGCTATACACTTGTAATTAATTTATATTTTACAGTTGGTCCTGATTCTATAAAAGTAACAAATGAGACATCTGTATATACATTAGATGAGGGAACAAGATTTAACGATATAAAATGCGAGGCTGACTGTTTTCCAGCATGCACATATAAATGGACCAAATATGGTCAAAATATTGGCAATACACATACTCTGTCTTTGGGACAATTAAATAAATCATCTGCTGGAAATTATACATGCAGGGCTACTAATGGAGACATACAGACTAGATGGAAGGAAAAGAAGGTTACTATTTACGTTAGATGTAAGTACTGATCATATTTATTTGAGAATCAATAATTTTGATAATACATGTTTATCTGTATTTTGATACTTGTTATATCACAGCATTGAATACATTTATGTTTATGATAAATTGATTTAAAATAATCCCATTTGTATCCAAATTCCATTCATTTATAATATTTTTGTCAAGTTTTAGTGCATGAATTAACAACATTAGCATTTTGATTAAATCCTAATTTTATTTTTAAATGTTCCGGTGTATTTTTTTAAAATTTAATTAGTTTGCTTAGTCCTATTGACACCAATCATGGTGTATTGGTAGTTTATATCAAGATGCAACTTGGGATTGCTACCTAGGTGCCTGTGATTAAGGTCAAGGTCACTGTTTCTAAAATAAGAAATTCAGTTCTCGCTCAATAACTTGAGTTTGCTAAGGCTTATTTACAACAAACTTGGTGTAGGAGTAAGTTAACTTATATCAAGAGGCAGCTTGGGGTTTCTTTTCAGATGTGTTTCAGATGTTGATTAAATTATAAATCAGGTTTCCGCTCAATTACTTCAGTTTGCTTTGACTTATTGACACAAAACTTAGTATGTGGGTAGCTTATATCAAGACACTACTTGGGCGGGCGGCGTCAACTGTAAATAACTAACCTAAAATCTAAAAATAGCAATTAAGTCTCTGCACAATAACTTGAGTTTGCTTAGACCTATTGAAACTATATGAAGTATTTGGGTAGCTTATATCAAGAGACAGCTTGGGATTGCTACCCAGGTGTTTGGACAAGGTCAAGGTCACTGTTCCTTAAAAATGAAATTAAGTTTCCAGGTAATAACTTTAGTTTGCTGTAGACTTGCTGTGTGGGCAGCTTTCATTAAGATGCAGCTAAGGGTTGCTACTTAGATATATGGGAGAATGGTAAAGGTCAATAGTTTACAGTAGAATTTTCAGCTTCTACTCAATAACTTCAGTACACTTTGACCTTTGATACTTAAATTGTTATTTGTGAAACTAACATTAAAATACAGCCTGACATTGATACTCAGGTATCTGGTTTATTTTATTTTCAACTAAGGAAACCAATTTTCTGTGTAAGTAAAAAAAAACAAACAACATCATTTTCTCTTCTCTGCAATAAGTTATTCCTAATTCCTGTCTCATCAATATTTTTCGTCGCATTGCGGCGCTTCCTGTTTTAGTTTATTTTCATATCTTATCAACAACAACTACATTTTACTTCACACGTGTCTATAAAATCATAATAGGATATCACTGTCAAAGCTCTATAACTCCCATAAACCTTGACTAAACAAGATATGTTTGTATGCCCCCTATCGGCAGCCAATTAGTCATGAGATCAGGTTATTAGGCATGACTTATGACCTAGTGAACAAATAATCAATAAAGGTTATCTTCTGGTCATGACTAGTCAGAAGGTAATAATTATTGTGACTGCATAGGTTGTGTGCAGCAATTTCAGTTATTACAAATCTTACCAAATAATATATGTCTTATTGTCAAGTCAAAGATTGAGGGCCAGCAGCTATAGGATTGTCAAGTTAATGATCGTCAACCGTTTTTACCAACAAGATAAATATGACCTTGACTTTTGACCCTTTGACCCCAAAATCAATAGGGGTCATCTACTGACCATGAGAAATAATCATACCAAGATTGAAGTTCCTAGGCCAAACAGTTATAAGTTATTGATAGGAAACTGTTTTTATGTACAATGTCATCTTGTTATTGTGAGTAATGGAGAGCTTAACTTATTTATTTAAGATGGACCGTACCAGTCATCAACTAAAATATCACCATCAACACAAAATTACACCAAAAATGAGGGACAGAGTTTAAATGATATCACGTGTTCTGCTGATTGCTATCCTGATTGCACATACACCTGGAGAAAGACAAGACATGGGCAGACAACTACAGTCAGTAGTATAAGTGTTTTATCTGTAGGGGAACTACACCGTGAAAATGCTGCATTGTACACTTGTATAGCAAAAAATCCTGAAAAGATTTCATCTTCAACAACAACAAAACAAACCCTTGTCAATGTTAGATGTAAGTAGTTTTATGTCTTATTTTTTTCTTGTCACAATTAGGCTTTGATGTTATGTCTCCAAAGCAACATTATTATGCCGTCCCTTTACAAATATTATAAAGAGTGTAGACAGAGGAAATTAGCTTTTTTGTTTGCCTGGATTATTTGTCAGGGACATGCATAGAACACAAGAAGGCATAATTACATCATAACCTTATAGAATACCAACACTAGTCTAAAATCACGAACATTGGTTTAAAATTGTCTTTGTGTTATTGTGTCAGATTGTTTTGAACGACACTACTAGCATTTCATTTTTTAATGATGGCAGGTGGGTGTGCATGCTAAATTCAATCTGTTAGCAGATACTTAAATCGTATTTGTTAAATAACTTTTGTCATCAAGTTGACTGATGTGTGATGTTGGGGTTTTGTAATCTGTTTATTTTTGAATGAAAACTATAGACACGATTAAGGAATATCAGCCAAATCTCGTATTTTATTTTTTGATATAGAAGTTATTATTTATATATTTAATTAATTTCTATATTCAACATTTTTCAAAATTATTTTTTCTCTATATTTCAATATATGATGATTAACATTTTCTTTGCAGATGGACCCGATTCAGCAGTTCTCAGCAAAACATCACCTCGCACTATAACAGAAGGGGATAAAGATGAAAAAATTGAATGTACTTCAGATTGCTATCCAGGTTGTTCTTATAAATGGACAAAAAATACAAGTTCGTCTGCTATTACGTCTTCACGTGTACTTCAACTTAACACTGTGTTAAGAGAGAATGCTGGAGATTACAAATGCATTAGTACCAATACAGCAACATCACAGTTCTCAAAATCTGCAGAGTCAACTATAAAAATCATTGTTCAATGTAAGTTGTTTAGCACACCTAAACTGGACCAGGCTGATCTTTCAGGATCGTTAAATGGCCATCCTCAATTTTTTGTCGTCCGTCGGCCGTCCTCATTAAGTTTGTTAGTACTCCAGTGGTTACATGGTTAGGCTGTTTTTCCCAGAAACTGTTTGGACAAGTTTAAACATGGGTCATCTGGGATATAAAGCTAGGCCCCAGAAACCGAACATAAAGACTATTGTTAACAGTTGTTAACACTAATATTTCAGTCCAAGTATCCTGGTAATTTGTCAGAAAGGTCGTTATATAATATAAATATAATAAACAAGATCAATAAGGAAATATAGGTTATCTTGGATCACATAGCCAAAATATGGAGGGAGAAACTTGTAAACACTCTAGAGACTACTATCTCTTTTCCAAATATCCTTGAAATTAACCATGAACGGTACTGGAAAGTGCAAGTCCTGGTACCGGCTTAGGCAGTATTAAACATTTAATATGAACTGGTTAAATTTTGAATTTTCAAACATTCCATTACCGTCCATGAACACAAGATCAATCAAACAGAGCCTGCAACATTTTCAATTTTGTCGTTTTGTACTTTCTTTAGGGATTTTTTATTTTTCTCTATTTTATAATATTTTTATTAATTATTAAAGGTAACACATAACATTAAATCCAGGTATATAATAATGTCACAATTTAGTCTGTCCCCACTCGAAATGAAAATGCGCTTTTGTCTGCTATGAAATAATAAAAAACGAGGTTGAATTATTAATATACCATTTCTTGTAAACAAAAGCATAAAAAACAGTCACACTCAAGTTTTCTTAGGATTCTGGGTGCCTTCTGGGTGCCCTGCTTTGGTGAATCGGAGGCTGCGTCCTGTGAACGTTGCCTTTACCTTGTTGATCTTAATCCTTGTTTTATTTAGATCAATTCTCTACCTCTCTTGTAAAAGGAAAATGTTGATTATTCCTTTACGAAGCGTAACAAATTGATCAATTTTAGGTAAAAGAGCTGTCATTTTAGTAATTTCAAATAATAATAAACAAGATATGTAAACTCGAAGTCTTCGCAAGTGAGTAACATCAAAGAATTGGCCGCTAGGTTTTATAAGAATGACCCGAAATGAATGAATAATTGATTTTTATTGCGCTTTTAAAGCTGATAAAATTAAATACTTATTTGTAATCTCAAACTATAACGAACCCTTATATATTATATATATATATATATATATATATATATATATATATATATATATATATATATATATATATATATATATATTATATATAGCACACGGGTGCTGTCATTTGCGAGGGAACTAGTAAAAATAGACCCCGTGAATACAGGCACACCAATGACGCAGAAGTGGGATCTGTTTGCTATGTTCATCTTCCTTGCTAGATTTGCACGATTATTTATTTATCATGTATTTATTTTTGTTTGATTTATAACGTCAGATGAGGTGTTGTAAAAGTTGAAACGCAGCAATTGTTTTACTGGATGAACATTGCGTCCGATTTAGGAAGGGTAGGGTACTTTATTGTATCCTATTGGCAAAAGAGATGATACGATGCGACGCATTCTCAAAATTCTGATACCGCGAACACTTTATTAACCGGTACTTGGAAGAAAAAATGGTCATGTATAAAAACCTATTTCTTTTGCAAAGAAGATGTCCTTACTTCAAGTTTAAATTATCCAAATACCTTGACACAACTCTTCCTTTTCTCGACAGTATTTTGCGTTAAATGCGATTTTGGATTCTAGAAACTGCGTACACCTGGCGTTTAAATGTTACGATAAATAAGAAAATGTCGATTAAACTGATAGTTTTCAACCATCTGGAAGTTAATAAATTTTCAATAATGTATTTTCAATCTTTGTTCTTTATCGTTTGTACGAAGTATTTACAGAAAATATAAATTATGATACTGCGTACACACTTAAAAAATCTAGATTCTGCGTACACTTTCTCCGAGACAGTCTGTGCTTCTTAATTGGATAAACTGGTCGCATACTCGAACTTAAAAAAGATACAACTTTTTTTTAATACAAATTGATTATACATTTTTGAAAGATTCGAGGTGATTTACTTTTTTTCATAGATGCAAATTTATTTATGAAACTCGAACATGAACGTACGCCGATTTGGCGTTGAATTCTTCATCCAAACAATAATTATGATGGACGACATCGGCATGATGACCCTTAACGACATATGTAGTAAATTGGCTTTTTTTCTGAGTATCATCACAAACACATTAATTTTAAGCCACACTATTCTGAACGAAAAATATGAATGCTGTAGTGGATAATCGTTTAAAATTTCACATGATTTGAAACACAACGTACACAAAGAAAGTGCTAAACGTATTTCATTCAGGTATTAAAGTGACTGTTACAGAAACAAATCATTTAAAATAATTATCATGTTGATATATGGTTAAAGTTGCACGCCAGATAAGAAAACATATTTTGATAAAATCAAACCTGGGAAAAATGTACTAAGATTTTAGGAAAGGTATAAAGATTCAAAATTTTTAGTAAAAATTCCATGTTATGTGGGATTAATGACTGACTAACGCAGCAATGGCTATTTTTGCATATTGTGACCTCTTTATAGTAATTTATCTAGGTTGTAAGTGCCATTGATAATGTGTAAAATTGCATTCTTTTGGTAACTTTACAATTATATACTGTTACATACATTTTCAAAATTTCAAGAAAATTAACATGAATCTGGAGGTGTGCTGCTTTAAAGGTATAGAATTGAAAACAAATAAATAACATGGAAACATCTCATCATAATCGTATTTCCGTTCCTATACCATTGACAAATGCATTAAATCTAAATTTCTACATTTGGCTCTTTTGTAATACATACAAACTTGTCAACGAAGACATTCATACTTGCGTGCAGAGGTATGACGCTTGTACAAGTATATGAAAAGAGCCACATGCCTACAGAGGTCACATTTGTAAAGGTAATCTTGACGATTTCGTCCTTCATGTTGTCTGAGAGAGTTTTCACTCAAAAATCGGCATACATTTAATTTCTTAAATGAGATATCAATTTTACCATATGAATATATACCGGTAAACAGTAATTGGGCCGTCCGTCCGTACAAGGTTAACCTTAAACGACAAGTTGGGAGTTTTCTTAAGTTCTATCTGCAAAAATGGCTTCGTAATTTACACCTTAATTTCTCAATACAAAGTATATGGTCTTGGCAAGTAAGATTACTATTGCTTTCCTGTTTTTTAAGTTATTGACATTTTCAGCACTTTGAAAATAGATATGGTTAACCTTAATCGACAAGTTGGGTATATCTTAAGTTCTGTTTATAGTATTGCCTTCATAATTTCCACACTTATTTATCTTTACAAAGTTCAGGATATTGCCTAGTTATATACTTGCGCCATCTATTTTTTCCATTAATTTGCCTTTTGATCACTTTTAAAATAGGGCATCGTATTGTTAACCTATTTGGTAAGTTGGATTAATCTTTAATGTTTCCTAGTAACTGCGTTTATTTAATGATATTTTCTATATTTGGTAGATGGATACCTTCAATGGTCCTCTAGCTTTTGTGGATTAAGGGGTCACTATGGTCAAGGTCAATGCCATTGTAGTAAACAAATAATGTTAATAAACATAAAGCTCATACAGCCTTTTTATGCTCCCCAAAGAGTGAGCATATAGTCGCCTCTTTGTCCGTCCGTCCGCTGTTCTTATCCAGGACATAACTTTGAAACAATAAGCGATATCAACATGGAACTTTGAAGATAGACCTCATTGTGTAAAAGTGCATTGCTAAAGAACTATAACTCTGTCTTGCCTAATTTTTGAGTTATTGCCCTTTGTTTATTTTTACAGTTTGAACTTTGTCCGGGACATAACTCTTAAATTATAAGAGTTAGCAACATGATACTTTGTAGGTAGATAGGTCTCATTGGGTGTTAGTTATGTGCAAAAGAACCATAACTCTATCTAATCTAATTTTGGAGTTATTGTCCTTTGTTTATTATTAAACTTTGAACTTTGTCCGGGACATTACTCTAAATTTATAAGATATATCAACATGAAACTGTGTAGGTAGATAGATCTTATTGGGTAGTTGTGAAGTGCAAAAGAACCTCAATCTTGGCTTGCCTAATTCTGGAGTCATTGTCCTTTGTGCATTTGTACACTTTGAACATTGTCCCGGACATAACTTTAAACTATAAGAGATATCAACATGAAACGTTGTAGGTAGACTGATTATTTTGGGAAGAAGTGCAGGGCAAAACATTCATAACTCCATCTTGCCTCATTTTGGAGTTATTGCGCTTTATTTATTTTTACACTTTGAACTATAAGAGATATCAAAATGAAACTTTATAGGTAGATAGAACTAATTGAATAGAAGTGCAGTGCAAAAAGAGCCATAAGTCTACCTTGCCTAATTTTGGATTTATTGCCCTTTGGTAATTTTTTGACTTAGAATTTTTGTCCGAGACCTAGGTCTGAAACCACAAGAGGTTTGAAGGTAGATTGATCTCATTGAATAGAAGTACATCGCAAAGGAATCTTAACTCTGCCTTGCTCAATTTGGAGTTATGCCCTTTGTTCATTTTTACACTTTGAACAGGAAATAACTCTGAAACAAAGAGCTATACTTTTTGGTGTCCAAAACCTACTCGGGGAACATCATTCGGTTCAGCCGGTTGTTGTTTGATTTATGTTTTTCCCAGAAACTGTTTGGACAAGTTTAAACATGGGTCATCTGGGATATAAAGCTAGGCCCAAGAAACCGAACATAAAGACTATTGTTAACAGTTGTTAACACTAATATTTCAGTCCAAGTATCCTGGTAATTTGTCAGAAAGGTCGTTATATAATATAAATATAATAAACAAGATCAATAAGGAAATATAGGTTATCTTGGATCAAACGCTAGGTCACACAGCCAAAATATGGAGGGAGAAACTTGTAAACACTCTAGAGACTACTATCTCTTTCC